ATTCTTCTAGACTGAAGCTGCTGCTGCTGCTGCTGCTGCTCAGCTAGCTGCTCAGCTAGCTGCTGCTGAACCGCCGCCTCCCTCTTTCGTTTGATTGAAACAAGCCACCTGAGCGGCTGAGAGTTTGCTTGCAAGAAACCTTTTCAGGGTGTAACTCTGCGGTGACAACACCCACCCCTGCTAGATGATGCTCCTGGCACCTTGGATGGAAGATAGCAGCAGCCAACCAAGCAATAACAACCTCTTTTCGTTCTTGTGTAGGCAAGCGAAGAAGCGGCGTGGGAACGTCGTCCGCGAAACTTTCGGCCAATCAGCGGTAGCCAGTCGCCACGTCATGCCGAAATAATATGAGCCTCTTTTCGGATTTTTTTTTGCCAATTTTGTGCGGGCAATTTTATCTGGGCGAACGAGATATTTTCCGAAACCCAGAAGCGGCGTGGGAACGTCGTGCGCGAAACTTTCGGCCAATCAGCGGTAGCCAGTCGCCACGTCATGCCGAAATAATATGAGCCTCTTTTCGGATTTTTTTTTGCCAATTTTGTGCGGGCAATTTTATCTGGGCGAACGAGATATTTTCCGAAACCCCATCAGACGGAGCTTAGGAATGCCAAAGACGTGTTTCAGACATGCCCCGTGAGGAACACGCGAAGTTCGCGTCTGTGGGCTTCGCTGTGAGACTTCTGATGAACTCGGTACTCCACTCTTGGAGAAATGGGCTGCCAGAGATTTAAAAACCTGACTTTAGACTACTGGTGCATTGTTGGCTCAGTGGACCTTCAACCCAAACGAAGACACCCCCTCCACCGGCGGGCAAGCTACTGTACGGCAAATCCCTCGTCGTCCTGGAACATTTTGGCTGAGATAGTACGTAATTCTAAAGCCGATCGCGATAAGAACGCCCCCACTGGCCGGGCCACCTACAGCGACCACAATCGCCTAACCCGTGCTTTGCCTGTTGGACTTCGAGGCAATTGACTCCGATCGAACCCCATCCCACCGTGGCACGCACCACAGCTTTTCTCTCTTGGAACGACGATCGTGTTTGGCGTTGCTGCGGTCTGTGAGGGTCATGCGGCGATCTGGGACGAGGAAAATGTCGGGCCATTTGACCCCCATGATGACCTGCAATTTTAGCATCCACAATCAATCCGTGAGACCGGTCACCGCTAAGTGGTGTAATTGCTTGATTTTGGCCACGAAAGGGGTTGGCATGGTCGCCGGTTAGCCCGATCGTGAACAAAACCGGGGCTTCGAACGGGTACGGGGTATTCTTGTCCGGTTGTTTTTCACAGCGATCCGCCCTATCATGTGTGGCACCTTTTATCGTGTGTAGTACGTAACTTTCGATTATGAGCGGCAAACTGTAGATCTCTATATATTGTGTTTCGTTTTTTGTAGTGCCGTGCATGAATCGTTTGAGGATGATTGTTATCGAGCGACGGGACATTTTCTGGGTCGTCTCAGTCTTGCTCGGGTCTCTGATCGGGACAGGCTATGGTCATGAACACCCGGTTGCATGAGGGCGGAGGAGGTGCCAGATACAGAGGCCAGAACGAGTTTCAGCATAAGAACACCAGCATCAGTAGCTACAAGAGAGAGATGACACGTCACGCGGAGGCAACAGGCTGAAGCACAATGTCAAAGCGTGTGTATTAAGTGCTAATGGTGATTAGCGGTCGTGCGGCTCAGCTGTCAATGCACAAATTGTTCATCTCACCACTCCTGCAGTGCTATCTTGTAGCGCATTAAAGTGGTAATTGTCAAGGACCCGCTTTTGGTTGCCCCTCCATAACTTTTGACTGAGATCGAATAAAAAAAAAAAACAGTTTTGGAACGCCCGCAGCAAGGCGCAAACAAGTAGCGAGCCGCCAGAAAAAAGAAGAAAAAGCAAGTGCTCGCGGCGGGTCTCGAATCCTCGATCTAGGCCCTAGAGCAGCTTTTCACCCATATATTTTCTTACAGCGGATTATGATTTTTCTTGCCAAACCACCTAGACGTGTACCAGAAGACCCCCAACCACTTCCCAAATGCCTCTGCCACGACTATAGCGTGTTTATATCACCCGCCAACGTACTTCCGTTGTAAATATTGCCTATTTTCAACAAAAGATACATCCTTTCTTTGTGCAACATTCCCTCCAGAAAACATGGGGGAAAACCTGAAAATGTGTTTACATCACCCGCCAACGTACTTCCGTTGTAAATATTGCCTATTTTCAACAAAAGATACATCCTTTCTTTGTGCAACATTCCCTCCAGAAAACATGGGGGAAAACCTGAAAATGTGTTTACATCACCCGCCAACGTACTTCCGTTGTAAATATTGCCTATTTTCAACAAAAAGTACATCCTTTCTTTGTACAACATTCCCTCCAGAAAACATGGGGGAAAACCTGGAAAAGTTAACCTCAATGAACAAGAATGCGCCATCCATCTACTCTCTCCATTCCTTCGGGGTCGGGCGCCTGTATGACTTGTATCTCTTGTGCGTCTTCTTGCCTTCAGGCCCTTCCACACGCGTCTCGCGGTACATGAGGGCGTGTGTGTATGCCTTCTTGCAGTAGCCCTGGACTACCGGAACAGCCTGCCTGCCTACACGGCGTCCTGTAGTTGTTGGCGCAGTCTCAACGCCCGCGCCCGCTGGGCAGCCCTCCCCAACGATCCAAAGGGTCGTCCGGCGTAGTCACGTCGCGTCCGCCCCAGTTTGGATCTCGCGATCTTCCCGCACCTACAAGGCCAGGTTCTTGCAGTGAACCGATGGCCGGGACTGCGGTTCTAACTATGCACTCCCGCGGAGGTGCGCTCTCCATGGGCGCATCGGATGAGCTCTTTCTCTGAAGGGCCTCCCAGTCAACAGCAGTAACATTGTCGAGGATGCTTCTCTCCGCGATGGCGACGCGGCCGCGTGGTGTTCCAGACGTGATCCAGCCGCTCCGCCATTTCAACACAGCAGTGCTGTCGCCCTACCTCGCGTACAGCACTACACGGTACTTTCGTGGCTTCTGTCTATCGATGCTGAGTGTGTTGCGCAGCTTGAATCCGCCAGGAACTGACTGCTGTAGGGCGGAGATCATCTCTTGCTCGAGCTCCATTCGATTGCCGGTCTTCACAACAACATGTGTACACCTCCCATGTGCGGTGTCAGCTGCCCAAACCAACGGTCGGGCCGAATACTTTTTTATTTTTTTATTTTTTTATTTTCTTAATATCACACAACAAATCCATCTCTATCTAATAGATAGTATAGAAATAAGTCTAAGATAGACTAGCAATGAATCCATGGCGTGAGCGAAAGGTTACCTGTATGTCTACGGTTTCCCAGACAGCATACAACGATATCTCCCNCCAAACCAACGGTCGGGCCGAATACTTTTTTATTTTTTTATTTTTTTATTTTCTTAATATCACACAACAAATCCATCTCTATCTAATAGATAGTATAGAAATAAGTCTAAGATAGACTAGCAATGAATCCATGGCGTGAGCGAAAGGTTACCTGTATGTCTACGGTTTCCCAGACAGCATACAACGATATCTCCCCTGTGGGTATTCTTGATTGATTTCGACCTGGAGCCCGGGAAAACCGGGTTCAGAACCAGGTGATCTAGAACCAACTTTTTTTGGCGAGGATTCCAAAAATGCCCGACTAACCAACAGCAGTACCCAACACCTCTCGTCTGCACCTTCCCAACATGACATATATGAGACACACAAGACAGCTACCAAACTGATTTGTTGAGCCTGTTACCCGCAGGGGAGATGTCCCTATATGCTGTCTGGGAAATCGTAGACATACAGGTAGTTTTCTCTGACGCTATGATTCCATTGTTAATCTATGACTCTTTTCTATCATAGAGATGGACTCGTTGTGTCATATTAAGAAGAAAAAAAAAATATATATATGCATATATATTTAATTAAGGAGAAATAAATACACGCACAGAAAGACTACCCATTCGAGATATACCCACAGTCGAACGGGATATATTTTTCACAGAGGTGGTGGGGGGGGGGGGGGGGGGG